TGCATTTCCATGAAGAAAATGCAATTTAAGTACACGTTTTTGTAGTTGATTAAACAATTTCATATCTTTATCCACAGTTGGTGCCAAGATTACAAGTTGGTTAGTCAAGTTATTAATAACTTTAGTAATTAATAAAAGTCATTTAAAGGCTGTGTTAAGTTAAACTCTTGACCAAAGCAGTACATAACCAGCACAGTATTAATCTACTGGCTAGCTATGCTAACATAAGCCACACTTGCAAACCGCATCTATATTAATTATCCACAGACTCTGTTATCCTGTGTAGTGTTACATTTGGTTGTTTTTCCAATGAAACATTTTAACTTTAACACACATTTGTTTAGGTTTAAAAAAATCTAATCACAGGGCACCATTGTCCGACTGTTCCGGGCCCATCCTCCTCAAGGTTACGCCAGGGGTTAGCTTCCAGCCTGTAGCTCCTTCCCCTAATATCAATCTTCACTCTCTCAGCTTTTTGCCTGTTTGGTTCACTATCATGTCCTCTTCAAATTTAGGCAGAGAGAAATCAAAAATAAATATTTACAATACGTACATGGGCCAAGGAATAAAGCCAACCCAAAAAACGGCTAAAACTGCAGTTCCACGAGTGGCCACATGAGGCTGACTTCAAAAGTGTGTCAATCCTCATATGGTCCCATATTAAAATGCCCAAAAATATCTTGGGTCTCTTCAGATAATTTCTACATTAATTTAAACTGTGCTGAGTGAATTTAAGCATAAGTCACAATTTTATTTTTGAGGAATTTTTGGTTTGTGTCAATTTTGGCAGCCTCAGCTTTTCTTATCCTCTACATGCTTGTAGTTACTTTTGAAAAAAATTTTATCCTGCTGACTTCAGACAGTCATATTTATTATTTATTGCGAATATTTTATGTGTAAACTGTAATTAAAAAAAACAACAAAAAAAACACCTACCCTCACACACGGTTTTGGGCATTTAAAATGACTGTATAAAAATCCTCCCTCTTGTCACTCTGACATCCATATGATTTTCAGAGTATATGTCAAAAATCTCCTCATAGGAGCTTTAAAGTTATGAGTTATGGCCAATTTGAGAACCAGAAGCTGCCTCCTCTAGTTTACTTTCAGCAATTTAGCCATTAAAATGGACATATGAAATATTCCTGCAAATGTGGCTTGCTTGGTAACCTTCATGCTACTATAAGACTCTGCGCTTAGTGCTCAATATTGTGTTTTTGTTGACATAAATTAGCAGTTTGCAGCTAGTATACATTCAGTGCACCAGGCTTCTTCATTGTTTGTCATATAATCATGACTGTGTGGCATTCAGAGCTGCTGTTGACTTTTATCTAAGGGTTGACGAAGGGCAAAGTGACAGGAGGACTTCTTCGGTTTCACTGACCTCTGCTTGCTCTCTCAGTGACAGTGTTACCCAGTGGCATGTATGTTATGCAACACAAGTCCTCTTAGATTCTATTGCCCAAAACATGAATCGCACTAGTCAGCTACAGTCTCAGTCTGGGGTAAACCCTTTACTTACTGAGCCAATAAATCAGCCAGGATAGGAGATTAGTGTAGTTGTAATAACCAGGCGTTTGCCATTTTTACTGTACTCTTATCCAAATATGGTCACTTCTGGTCTATAACAGAAAAAAATGCAAGAAATGGGGATTTATTTTGTATTTATCATTGTTAGTTGAATGCTTTTTAAGGGTTTTAACTGGTCACTTAAAGAGAAAATTAAAGAAAAAAGTGAACTATAGCAGTCATTTTGGGCTCAAGGGACATTTTCTGACATTGTAAATCATGTGGCAAAGAATCACTAAACCTATGAGGTTTTTCATGATAAATACTATAAAAGACTAGTTTAATTGTGTTTCTTTTTAAGTAAGATCTCTGTTTTAAGTTTAATGGTGATAAAAAACAAAAACATCTTCGACATTGATTAACTCGCACACATCCACAGTGGAGCTTCTTTGTGAAACCACAACCTTTCACAGTCTGTCAGTGTAACTTCTCTGTTCAACCACATCCCTGTAATGTGGTCTCCATGAGCCGCTGAGGAGCTCCTCGCCATCCTTTCTTCTTCTGTTTCTTTTTAATCCACTCACGCCCCCGCTCGCTCCCCCCTCCCCTCCACTCTCCTTGGCCTTGATATCAAATAAAGATGAAGGTGTCGCTCTAATCGACATTGTAGCCAATGAATCATTTAACAGTGTTAGTCTAACATTCCAGATTCCAGGTCAGTGCGTCTCACTACACATCCCCCTGCCAGCAGGGTTTAGCCTGGTTCGGCCTGCCTGCTGCAGACTGGCAGCGCCGCGTCTCTGCTGTTGTTGCCAACCAGCAAACGCTGTTTTCTGCCCCGGCCATCCCCCGGGCACCCAGCCCTGATGTGAGCGAAAAAATGCTGAGCGGGGGAATGTTTTAGATGAAAGCATACATTTACCCCTCAGCTTAAGTCAAATTAGAGCTTTTTCTTTTTTTTATAGATCTGATATCTAGCTATTTAGTTTCCCACAGATGAAGTCGGATACTTTGCTGCAGATTTTTTACTTTCAGGTTATTTCAGGTTATACGCTCGTCTCAATATCTGTGTTTTGCTTCACTGCAGCAGTTTTTTTTTATTGAACAGACTTGATACGAGGTTCTTTATCAATTATTTAACTTTAATTTGGGTTGTGGCCTCTTGAATTACTGTGAAAAAGGAAAGTTAAACTATTTATGAGTGTTTTAGAGCTGTTACCTACACTAACCTTATGTTAACTTTAAAATACACTGTATGCCTACCTTGATGTTTTTCTGGGGGTATGGAAGAGCATCAGGGTCAGGGATGAGAAAAAAGAATTACAGGAGGAAGAATTTTGAGATTGAAGTTTAAAAATAATGCTGTGATAAGAATGAAATGTTGAGATTAAAGAGATTAAAATTTAATATATAAAGGGTTTTTATGCGTTTTAATGCTCCTACACACTCGTCAGTACACACTTCCTGTGTCACTCTTTGTGTCGGTTTACTCATAAGTAAAAAGCCAATTCTTTATCAAAACACGTGGTAAGCATGTTGAAATACAAGCTAGGTTTAACCTAAAGGATGTTAGCTCAACTTATAGATTTCGGGCTGATACTAATCATTTACAATCATGTTAAAAGTCTTTATTAAGTCTTGGTCTTAATTTTTGTCTTCATTTAATATTCCGTCACAATATCATTAATTTCTTATGTTAATACCTGTACATTTTGACAGCCTTAATGTGACTTAAATCACCCAACATACTTTTTTTTAACCTTAAAATGAATCCTCTGTCAGATTTACTTAGTCCACCTGTCTCTGTAGACAGTGTTCAAGAACTGTAATACATGTAGTTTTCGAGCTCTCTGAATGCATCCATCCTTTTATTTAGGTTTGAATAAATGTTGGCCTTGCTGGCTATGAATATGTGTTGGCACAAAGTAACAAGGTCATGAATTCATGTTTCATAAGAGCTCCGCACCTGTGAAAGTTTGTGTTAATAATAATAAGTACGTTATTTCTCAACCTGCCATAAATAAAATTGTTGATATTCAGTCTGTGTCTTTATGCATGATTCCATAACAGTCTGAGTCTCTCTCTCTCTCTCTCTCTCTCTCTCTCTCTCTCTCTCTCTCTCTCTCTCTCTCTCTCTCTCTCTCTCTGTGTGTGTGTGTGTGTGTTTTCGTAAGTGCACTGCAGTGAAGCAGCCAGTAAAAGTAGAATTTCCTTTAGTTATTAAAACAATACCATAGAAGCCACAACAAAACTGGAAACAACCACTATTACACCAGGAGCTGAGTGTGTCGCAATGGCAAGATTAGACGGCATAAGATTTCACATTGCAAAGTCCCCTGCTCTTCTCATACATACAGAGATGCACAGCTGTTGGAGAGCTTTGAGATGTAAATATTTTCCCCTCATTTATCGGGATGCCAGAAGACGAAGGCACTGCTACTACTATCTCCTCACACACCTGCTTCTCTTCAAACCATGGGTCAAAAACTCCAGAACAACACTGAGAATATCTGCCAGACTAAATACCATCCATTAGGCAGATAGTGCAGAATACAGCCATGTTAATAAGCAGTAAAAATGATTTAATGCAGGTTATCAGCTTACTTTTCTTTGATGTTAGTCATTATGAGATCTTATTTAATACTGTCAGCTTATTCGAGTTTTAAACAGTCGATGGACAGAAGTTCAGACTCTGATAATAACTCGCCTGCTAGGATTCATATCTGGCTTTTACTGGAAATAAGAGCTGATGCACTGATCGGTCTGATTCATGTTAGGTCCAAAACAAACATATGAAGAAGAACAGACCATTAAATTTGACCATCTGGTATCAACTTTTCAATTTTTGAAGTTTAATTTTTTTGTAATGATAAGAATAGTTGGACTGTCTTTTCCTCTTCTTGTTTTGGGCACAACAGTCTTTGTAGTCCGTGACTCGGTCCATGTTTGAGGGACAGTCACACATATTTGGTAGAGAAGGTTTCATCAGGAAAAAAGAACTTAAATGAGGACATGATTGACATCTTTAAAACTCTATGTCTGATAACACACCCAGGCTGAAAAAGAGGATACAGATGGAGGGATGAAGGGAGGATGAGCGAGGCTGAACTCATTTGATCTAACCCACAAACTCACCGAGGGATCTGTTCAAACTTTTCAGCCAAGGAATGTTTCGTGTAAATAGCGTGTAACAGGAGTCACTCAGACTCCAGCATGGATGACTTATTTTTTTCTTTGGCTGTGAACATGGTAAGTCAATTAAAATGAAGGTCACTGAGTGATGGACATGTTGTGTACAGAAGGGAAAACTTTTTCTTGTGGGACTCAGCCGATGCCCAATAAAGTCACGCTACTACATTTACAACTTTATGGAATGAATATCCTGAAGCTCCTTTAAAGACTGGCCAATTTTTTATGTTAGAAATAAAGAAAAAACAGGAATTGATATGCCTCTCTGTCCATGAATGTTATACTAATATTGGAGCTGTTAGCTGTCTCTGAACCTCTCTAGAGAAGTACACTACAAGATTAAAAAAGTTCAACCAGCCAAACAAACTCCCTCTCTCCTATTAGTGGGTCCATGCTTTGTTTTCAGACCGTGCGTAAACTCCCTCTAAAGTAGGGTCCTCTTTTACCCAGACATGTCTTCTTTTTTGGGGGGCTGTACGGGTTTGTCCAGCTTTGTCTGGGGAAGAGTATAAGATCCCTCAAATGTCTGCGGTTTTGTACGTAAGTTTTGATTTTGTGTCACGTGGACTTACTGAGTTAGAAACGCGCAAAAGTCACTTGATCCGAAAAACTCTTAAAATTAACTTTGTGCAACTCCATGACTCTGCCCGCGCGTAGTCATGTCCTCTTTTTGGGAAGTCAGAATATGGTCACCCTACTCTAAAACCCCCACTGGAGTTCAAAGGAAACTGGATTTTCTGTTTCGTGGAAGTATAAAAATATTTTTGTGATAATCTGTAATTTTTAAATTTCTTTTCGCACAAACATTTTGTAATCAAAGATGGACGTGCAAGCACAAAATAACCATTTGGGAATCAGCGCTGACTGGCTGGACAACAAATCGGGTTGATGATCGGAAAAAAAGCAAATCTGACATCAACGATGGGAAGTTTGTTTTCCAGTTTGTAGGAAAGCTAAAAGCTAGTTACTTTCTGAAAATGAATATGCCAGGTTTTGACTCAAAACACTAAACTAAACAATTTAGTTATTCATTTCTCTCCCTCTCTCTCTCTCTCTCTCTGTGTGTGTGTTAGTCCAGTCTGAGGAACACAGGTGCTCCAAGATTGGCTAAAGCGATAGTCCCCATGGTGATTAGTAGGTATTTTGACTGTTCTGCTCATTATCACATTAAAACTGTTACAGCTTTTAGTCCCCATTGAATTCAACAACTTTGCACATTGAGGAGGAGGAGGGCTCTTCCTGCTGGGTTTAGAAATCCTGGATTAAAGAGGCTAATGATGAGAGGGCTAAACGTGATCAAGTCAAATTTAGTGAAGATGGAGAGAAAAGGAAAAGCAAAAATGAGAAGAAAGTGAACAATTGAAAGAGTGGTGAAAAGTGAATTCTTCCCCTTGAGTTGCAGTTTTATGTTTCAAGCCCTGTTTGACACAAACATGTCACACACTCCTGTCACAACACATCACAACTTGAAGACCACAAGAGTAACAAACCTGACCTGCATGCTTTGAACTGTGACAAATCTTAAAGAAGTGGGATGAAACATGAGGAGAGTGTCTCTGAAAAAATGACATGTTTGTTTTAAGGTTTGGTTGGTGAATCCCATTTTCTTACACTATCGACTATTACTGAAAAAAGAATGCTAAAAAGCCAAAAAAAGAAAAGGGTCTTCCTGTAGAAAAAAAAATTTGGAAACATAATGAAGTTTGGAGATTGTCTTTAAAATATATTTAGCACTTACAGATTCTGAGTCACCTATCAGACTGTTCTCCTCTGTTGTCCCCCAGTGGAGGAATACAATATCCAACTCCATTTGATCCCCAGAGCACCTTCTGACTGTCTCCACACACCAATCTCAATATGGGCGGATATTCCCATCGCGTCAACTAATCAGCACAAAGGTTGCAAGGTGATGTGTGGAAACAGACGGTTGCTCACTGGGATATAAAATGGAGGACAAACTGATCGTGCCAGCGTGTGGGTGCCCTGAATGAAAGATACATTTCTTTCAATCACCGAAACCGGAATAAAAAAGGAGCTCACCTGGAAGCAAGTGAGTGAGGAGGTTGGATTACGTGGTAAATTGTAAAAGACCTTTGTGTATCACTTGATCTGGTTGAATTGGCAGGGATTACTGTTGAAATTACTGTTGACGCGCGAATGAAGCGGGTAAATGCTATTTATTCACGCGTCTAGATTTACGCAAATTAAGCGGGTAGATCGTTTTATTCGCGCTTGGCGTGAGCGCCCCATAAGTCTTCTCCCTTGAAGTCTTCTGTGGTGGAAAGGGTTACCCTAACCAAAAGTTAGTGTCACTAAATATTCACTGTGACTCATCAGAAAAAAAAAAATTAATGTTTTGCTTTTGATTGAAAAAATACTGACACTGTTTAAGTCGCTAAGTGGACTGTGAGTTCTTTTTTCTTTAGATAAAAATCCAGTTCACAAAATAAGGAGAAATAACTGCAAGGCTTTAAAACACATCAATAAAACAGCAGTAAAGTGTGCAGTGTTTAGCTCAAAGTTAATGGTTACATAAAAGTGAATATGTGCTAAGGCTAAAGCTGTCAACACTCACTGATCTTCACTTCTGAGCTATGATGACATGTTGTGGTGAAAATGTCTGATCCTTGGTCTTCGTCTAAGATTAGATTTTCACTTCAGTGAGGTTTTAAACTGCTCATGTAAGACGACTCTAATGCACGTTTAGACCGTCCTACAGGTTTTTGATGAAGGTCTGGATAAAAGAAAAAATATGTGGTTACAGATGCACGTTAAATATAATAATGATATTGTTTCCTGTTTCCATGCCTGCAATTTTTCACGCTACACAGATCAAAAACAAGATGAAAACAAAATACAGACAGGCAGCACGGTAAATAAGACTCACATGTTCGTATGCATCCATCAGTGGAATCACAGAGATGAGCTCTCCTGCTGCTTTGTCTCTCGGCCCTACATGCAATCACTGCGTTGTGGCACAGAGCAGAAAATGACAGTAATTCAGGTAATGAGAGTGAAATAGCGGTGATGGGAGGCACAGGCTTAGCTGTTTGAAAACTCACTCACAGAAAAACGGGAGGAAAGCAGAAAAAGAAGAGGGGAAAAAGAAAGAGAAGACGTGTCCAGTGCCGTTGAGGAGTTGTCAAACATGATCTGAAATGATTTCTGTTTTCCTGACCAGGATGTTTCAAGTCTGGCTGCTCTGAGCAGACATGAAAGATGGTGAAACAGCCGTCAAAAATGCTTTTATCACTTCATCTGACATGATCTTCTAACTCAAAGACAGAGAAAAACAGACCAAGCTACTGAGAAGATCAAGAAGGGGAAGTTGGGCTGGTTGAAAATTTCACCGTAAATCCTCAGTTCTGGGCATTCTCATTTTTGAGTAAGATGTGACATCTGTGAGGTTTCTGCACATTGTAGTCCTGTCATATTTTGACACCATCACTACTGATTTTGTCACTAAAAAAGTTGCTGTCATTAACATACAAATTTGTCATCACTAAACAGAGACAATGACGTGACATGATAAATCGCAACTGAGTTAACAATCAGAAGAGTCAGGCAATATTCAAAAGTAATAAAACAAATTGGATTGACTGTCAAAACAACTTATGTTAGCATGCTGACAGCACTAGCTAACATTCAACACTGTTTCAGGTTACAGTGCTGCCATCAGTATTGGAGAGTGTAACCATAGCAACAGTTGCAAACTCTGGCGCTCTAGGAATGACTAAAATCTTATGCTGCATTCGAGTTACCTCAGAAGTCAGATGTCTGACGTCACACCCAAGTTGCCTGTACCAAGTCAGAAGAAAGCAAAATCGGAGGCGTAAACAAGATGGCTACATCTACGAAAGTAATTTTAGCGCTTGCCTTGTCCTTGCTTATATTTGGATAAGGCAAGTGCTTAAATAACTTTCGTAGATGTAGCCATCTTGTTTCTGCCTCAGATTTTGCTTTCTTCCGACTTGGTAACTGAAACCCTGGGAACTCGGGTGTGACGTCATTCCCAGCTCGGACTTCTGACTTCCTAGGTAACTCGAACGCAGCATAAAAACTCTGAATATTTTATTTGTCTACCAGTGTGATATCCTCTGAGCATCACAGGAGGACACCCTCCAAACCCACCAGCTGTAGGAAACAGCCTGTACTCAGGTTTACAGTGAGACAAAGTGGTTTGGCTGAACTGTCCAATGTTTAACAATGATTTTCTAGTGAAAAGGTGAGTCTTTTGTTTGATTTGAAAAACATTAAAAACTAAGTTTAGGTGTATTTAGCCACCTCAACCCTGTTTCTCTGTCTGTCTGAGCTTTAACTCTGCAATGTAACTTCAGTCACTGTCTTTATAACATTTGTTATTGATTTGGAAACAGTGATATGGCTGGCCAACTACATTTAGGCCAACTGTTTGTCCAACGTGCACAATGTCATTGACTTCATGCTAGCCTCGCTCTCTGGCTGACAGCAGGGTGTAGTCAGCTGAGATAACTAGTTTATTTCTGTATGTTGTATGTATGTCCCGTCCTATTTACTGGAATGCTGAACTACATTTTTATTACATAAGCACCTTATGGGATTGTAATGATTAATTGTTATGTTGTGAAGAATACTGAGTTCTTGCTTGTTCAGCATCTTCTAGGTTTAACACAAAATGTATGACAATATAAATCACTGGTCTGATTAGTTATTTTCTTTTATAAGTGACAGTGGTATATGAGGGATAATGCCCTCTGTGGTGTCCATTTATCAGTAGTGATGAGACTTAACTGGGCGCGTTCAGGTCTCCATTTCTGATAACTGGACACCTTATTCTGTCCTTACGTAACAGTAAGAGTATAGAATTTAAGATGTATGTTCTTAATAGTAACTCAATTTATCTACACTTACATTGCCCAGATTCTAGGGGTGGGAGAAAAAGTCAATACAGCATAGTATTGTGATATTTTGTCTGGTGATATATCATATTGTCTCATTTACCAAGTAGCTATTTTTTAAATTAATTGCTAAAAGGAAGTCAAATCTACGATAATGGAAAATAAAATCAACTGTTTGTCCAGTGAGGTTGGCAGAGGTGACATCATAGAGCAGGAAAAAGTTAGTACAACAAAATATAAGGTTTGCAAGAAGTGCTACATGAAAATAAAATACAGCATTAAGATGAATATAAAGTAAAGACAAATGCTAAATTAGCTTAACAGTTGAAAAAATTGTATATATTGGATTGCAATACTTACTGTATTGCAAAACGTTAAAAATCACAATAATATTGCATTGTGACCCAAGTATCGTGATAATATCGTATCGTGGGGCCACTAGGGATTGCAACCCCCACCAGATTTCCTCAGGTTTTTCACTCTCCACTGTTGTTTCAGTTGCTGATAAATTAAGTAGGGAGGAAGGGCAAAATGGTGAAAAACAGCCACATAAACACGTATTTCCCCCTGTTTGACCACAGTACAGATGTCTGTTGTGAGTACAATCACAGCTTCAATGAAAAGTTTTGGTTCGCAGTAAACCCTGGTAGAAAGATTGGATTTATCGTGCTGTGCCCTGTTATGAAGCCACTCTCAGATTGAAGGCCTGCTTTCATTAAGTCAAAAACTCTGGAGTGTCACACCATGTGAAATTGACCTTTTGTTGATATTAAAGAAAGAAAGCTGAACCTCAGGAGAGCAGACTTTTTGGAGAGTCAGAATCAGAAGTTAGAGCTATACTCCTGCTTTTAAGCTCAGGTAAAACTCCTCAGAGCCTTAAAGTGAATTAAAAAAATATTACTGCAGTGCAAAGAGGCCTTAAAGGAACATGTTTATATGCTGTTTACTTGCAGAAAACATCCACACTTCCTGGCTCTAATTCCAGGCAGAGATTTTCCTTTGGTGGACACAGTTTAAGCATTCAGCACTATTTTTTGTTTGTCCTCCGGTAAGGGAAGCACTGAGAGTCATCTGAATCAAGAGGACAGATTCTGTTACTCCCCATTAACGATGCTGTGTATGTGTGAGCACTAATTAGCCTCCATTACCTTGGATAAGAGCTGCAGAGAGAGGAGAGCATCAAAATTTAATGAGCCTCTTGTAGCCACTCTGAATATTTGCTGTGTTTTTAAGTGCGGTATCTAACTCTCCTTCTCGCTCGCTTGTTCAGACACGCCACTGATGCATTCAGATAAATAGGTGAGATGGTCGATACGGGTGATACTAGGTCAAGGGAAAACATCATGTCCACTTAAGATGGGCTGCTTGTTTCTGGCTGAGAGCCACTTGTAAGATAGATTTACTTATAGAAACACTGTTGATGAGTTTTGGTGGCTCTGTACACACTATGGCTCTTTGGGTATTGCATTGCCCATGAAAAATGACTTTCTTTGGGGAATCTCCTGCAAAGAAACACTTTTTCTGATAAGTATGAAACAAAAGCCCACCATCTACTTTCGTATATCAACAAGAGCAATGGGTTTCATTAGCTGCTACACTGGGCTCATGTGCCTAAACTGTATTGAACTTTTATAGCCTGAGTGTAAAGTCACTGCCATGTGATAAATCTCTCTATACAGAGTCAGCATTAAAATGAAAAACACATAGATGCAGTACCAGGTTTTGGTAATGGAGGTATTCTGACCTTAATTCATACTGTACATACTTTTTAAAAGAAGCCCATTCTTAGAGCTGAAATATACATACTCGAAGCCTGGTTCAAAAACGGGTTTGATCTGGATAGAATCTTGACTCAACGTAACTTTTGTCCAACCTCACAAAAGGAGTGAAAGTTTTGGCAATAGTTACAGTGTGCCTGCCTCTCAATTAAAGGGATACTCCAGCGAGACATAACACAACTTCCCTACTCTCTTCCAGCAGCTGCTTGTTTGTAGGAAAACTTAGGACAAGTCCATCACCGACTGCAGCCGGGTGACACAGCTCAAGGAAAAACATTTATGATCATTTCTTCATGGAAATGCAATCAGACCGAGACGCTAAGGCAGAAGAACTACCGCGTCTGCAGTGCAAAATGATTAATATGGTGATTATTACTTCAAGACTTGTCCTAGGTTTTCCTACAAACAAGCGGCTGCTGGAAGAGAGTAGGTGAGTTGTGTTTAGTCTCTTTGCTAAGGAAACTAGGAAAAGCTAAAAATATGAGTGGTGGCTAGTGCTGTGGCTGGGACCCTATATGTACTGTTGATGAAGTTAGGTGCTGTTCTGAGCATTATTTGTGGCTATAGAGTGGCTTTTTGGTTGAGGTGTGTGGGTTGGCTCCTCAGACCGCTGTTTATTGCTCTCCTGCGGTCGTTACTAAAGTTGGTATGACTAGAGAAGCAAGCAGTCAGCAACATTCATCTCTCGTGGGGGTGTCTGACTCTGTGTTATGGTGTGTTTGACACTAAAATGATTTTACGCTGGAATATCCCCTTAACTGAGAGGTGGGCACATTGTAACTATTGCCAAAACTATCGCCCCTTTTGTGAGGTTGGACAAAGGGGCGACAAGGTCAGGATTTCCAATATGGCAGCCGTTCCTCTGGCTTCAAATCTTTGCTTCACACACAAACGGGTCACTTGTGCTATGTCATCTATCATACAGTCTATGGTATTTTCACACTGCATATCCAGACAGCGTAGTATTGGTGTCCAAGAGTGTGATGACACATTGAATTACATCATTGCAGAAGTGGTACAGGTGTGGCTTGTAAAGACACAGCAGGACTGCCACATAAACACACACACGCACACACACACACACACACACACACACCACATTGTCCCACGCTGCTGCCACACATCGCCACTTTCTTCTGCTCCATTCTGCCTCTACCTGCGAGGGAGGATCAGAGATTTAACCGATTGACTCCACTATATGTCACGTGGTTACACATTACTGATGAGGTGTAACAGGGCACAAATATCTGGCCTTGAAATGGAAAATACAAGTACTGAAGTAGTTCCCCTTAACACAAAGCAAAAGTTTCACACAAGAGCTTTAAGAGGATATGCAGACAAAGATAACACTTAACTAATCAATGTTGTTTGGAGATGCTGGACATTCATTATTGCTTCTCAAGTTGTGAAAAAAGTTGTAAACAGACAAAACCTTAAACTGTTGGTCATACTTGAAGCATTGGATCTCTTTCTTAATGGATCACATTACACACAAGCTTTTGTGATAATATTTTTCCAAACAGAAAAGAAATGATATTTTGAAATTGTAATGTAATGTGCTTTGAAATTGTAATTTTTTTGGCCCAAATAATTAAAATAAATAACTCCAGGGATTATTTGGATGTTGTTTTCCTTTAGATAAGGCTCTGGTAATGATTTTGTCCACTTAGGTTTTAAAATTTATCATTATCTTTATTTATTTTTTTCTAAGAATCTGAAAAAAAGAATCAGAAAATTTCAATGAATTTTATGAGCCTGTTGCAATCAACCCTTTTTGATTCAGCTGCAATTTTCTTAAATATCTTGAACTCAATTTTTTTTTTTTTTTTGTAGACATAATTATTGAAATATTATCCCGCTCCAGATGGATCATATCTTAATCCAGTTTATCAGCTTTGACAAAATATCAACCGAAAATTGTCTCTTTTTTAAAATTGACTCTGAAAAGGTTTATCATAACTGTGACATTCTCCAAAATGAGGCTTCTGCTGTGGTGAGTCTGCAGTGTTTGATGAGTATCTGATAAACCTTCGTACAGACCCCCACACACTGTGGAGAGACAGAGCGTCTGCCTCCTGGGCCACTAATGGACACAGAGAGCAGCAGAGATCAATACAAGCAGACATAGAGAGAGAGAGAGAGAGAGAGAGAGAGAGAGAGAGAGAGACGTCTAACAGGAACAGATTAAGGGCCTTGCTGGCTTTAGTTTGTGTTGCAAATTGCATGCTAAATTACAAAGGGAAATTAAGCGTGGGGATGTGTCAACATATTTTCAATATCTCTAATGGTATGTGTTTTCTTACTTCAATAGCACAGAGAAAGAAAGAGAGTTTATTTGCATTTGCTGCTTGGTGGGCACTGATACAATCTGCTGATAGACGTGAAGGAAAAAACACTCAGAGTCATCAGAGGCGTGCTCGTGAGCTGAATGTGCATCTAAGCGCATCGTCATTTTTTAACCTAAAGTCTTCTGGCCTTGTGCTTGTTGCTCCCGCTGACAGGAGACAGCAGCAGGGGAGAGACAGAGTTGTCCATACTTGTCAGATAAAATCTGGGCTGCCTGGTAGCCAACACTGAACAGACTGTAATCGGGTTGAGGCTTCACTGTGAATCACTCTTCAGAGGTTCAAGAGTGTGAACATAACAATGTCAGGAGGAAAGTCAAATATTGGATAGCCCTGGGAGACATCTGTAAAGGTGTTGGGCTCGGGGTGGAAAGGTTACGAAGAGCACAAAACAATTGTGTGAAGGGGCAAAGCAGATTCAAAGTGCACAACAATGTTCGGCGTCAAAGAGCTGCACATGCATGGTACCGATGTTTATGGTTTTACCCTACAATCTAATGACGCTGATGAAATGCCTATGTTTAGACCATATCAAATATAGTCAATTACCATTTTTTGTAATGCTCAATAAATTAGTTATTCACTTCCTCATCTTTAAATAAGCAGTTGTTATAATTGCATGATGTCCAGACAGTTTGGTCAAGTGGACCAAGTGAAGAGTGTAAACAAACCAAACCATAAAAAAATGTAACAATGCAGCTATGTCACCCTACAATCCAACCAAGGCTAGCCTAATTGAACCCTGAGCCACATAAAGTCCTCAGCAAACAGAGACAGTTTATGGACCTTGTATCAGCAACAAAGAAATATAAACATATTCTAACACTTTCAGGAACAGGTATAGCAAACATGTCCTTCCCCTTTAAAAAATCTACTTTAATGCCATTTATTAAGTCAAAGAGTTTTGATAATACAGGGTGACCATATTCTGACTTCTGAAAAAGAGGACACGACTACATAGGGCTGGAATCACGGAGTCGCACAAAGTCAATTTTGAGAGCTTTTCGGGTCAGATCTAGTGTCTTTTTCTTAACTTAGTAAGTCTGCATGACACAGACTCAAAACTTACGTACAAAACCGCAGACATTTAAAGGATTTTATAAACTTTCCCAGTTAAACCCAGACAGCCCCCAAAAAAGAGTACATGTCCTGGTAAAAGAGGATGTATGGTCACCCTTGATAATAATAGTTAATAGTTATATTTTGGGTGCAACTTAAGCAGAAAGATCAGGCTGACAGCACAGCCAACACTCACCAAGTGTAAAAAGCCTGATATGCATCATTTTGCACTCATGCTTTCTGCTTTTTGACGTTTTGCAGTCACGTAAATTTTACATTGCTGCTGAAGCTTAGAAACCTAAAATTGGCTTTGACTTCTAATCCATCAGTGAGAGACGAAAACTCCCAGATTGCCTTTTTAATAGGTTCCTATCAGGTTCCTAATTTAATTTGTTTGGCGAGGAGTCAGGAGCTTGTGGAGATGAGAACTCATACAATTCAGGAGGAGTTTTTGACCATTGCACTATTTTCTGAGGGGGCATTAATTATCTTTATATGCCAGCGTCCCCTCCTGTTCATCTTATCCATTACCATCAGAAAAAAGGATAAAAGTCATTACACTGAATGATGAGTTTGTGTTCGCCTAGTTTACACAGGAGTTCAATTACAGCGTATAGATCTACTTTCAGCTAATGTTTTCTGAAGACAAACAAACCTTCAACTTAATGAGCAGCTCGCTAGAACAAATTTGGATTAAATTGAATTAGACCTCGTGCTGAGGCCGCCCATGCTGAGTATTCTGCACACTCGGTCGTTTGTCAGTGCCACCGCAGTGATGATGTGATGATGTTAACGTGACTTAAAAACAAATCTGGCGGAGTATTGAGCTCAGGACCTTGTTATGAAATGTGCGATGTAATTACGAGTCATTTTAAGCCTCGTAGTAGTTATTGTTAGCTATCATCAGACACACAAAGCAACAGCCACTTCACTGATGAACTGGAGGACGCTGCCATTTGTCACTGTCACACACACACACACAGCAAGCAAATACATGGTAATACACACATACGAGCATACATACGCAAATACACACAACTTACTGTCATACAAAGGGCCCTACATAAACACAAAACTTTGTTTGCTGTGTATAAATTGTTGAGGCTGCTCCTTTTCAGCACATTATAGAAGAATAACAGCTCTAATGTATCGAGATTACTTTAAAGCTCCACTGAGAAACTTTTTGTTTGTGTTGATTTTGAATACCCAAATGTTTTAAAGACCCACTTGAGAAACTAGAAACTTCATAATCACAACTTAAAGACCACTGATAACACTTTAAGTAGTATAAAACTATTGGAGTGGGACTTTTACAGCAGTGTTATGTAACAAAAAAGGCATACTACTTACTTCTAACAGATCAGATTCATTGGTGTAGTTAAGAGGAACACAATCTGGCGTCAACACAGAGTGCTCTATTTTGAAACTTAAACAGATGTTTTAATGTTGTCTCAGTGTCTGACTTCCTGTCTTCCTTAATCTCCCCTGAGCAGGTCGTGGCGTTGTGCTCCAGCATCCAGCAAAAATAGAAGCCATTAGTATAAGCAGCAGATGGCTTTGGATTGCCAGTGCTGAGTGGAGACGGAGCAGAAGCGTAGGTCCGTACGTTAACATGCACAGTTGAGTCGAGTTTAATTAGGTGATTTAGGTAGAATACTGTCTTTATCCCAGTTTACAACCAACAGATAAGAATCAAATTAATAACAGAGGCATGTCTACCTCCACTACAGTAGGGGGCGACATGCCCGTTTTTAGCTAATTCCTGCTGGATCTTCTCTCTGTTGGCCTGTTACATACCAAAATCAACAAAACGCATCAGCCTGTGGCTCGCAGAATGTTCACTTCCACAGCCCTGTACTTTTGTTTGTACAATATGACAGATTTGTCTTACTTTTAGGTTTAGTTAGAGTGACCATACATCCCTTTTACCCGGACATGTCTTCTTTTGGGGGGGGGGCTGTCCGGGCTTGTCCGGCCTTGTCTGGGAGAGTTTACAAAATCCTTCAAATTTCCAGGTTTTTTAAGTGGAAGTTTTGAGTTCGTGTCGCATGGACCAAATGAGTTAGAAGCACGTAAAAGACAATCGACTCGACCCGAAAAACTCTCGAAATTTACTACACGTGACTCCGTGACTCCACCCCGTGTAGTAGTGTCCTCTTTTTAGGGATTCAGAATATGGTCCCCCTAGTTTAGTTTTCTTCCTGGCTTAGAAGCAGCACATTTATACTATCCAGCTTCAGGTACAAAGCCCAAGCTAGCCAAGAAGGCTTAGACTGGTTTCAGTCCAACAGAAGAATATAACAAGAGAAAACTGATCCCAAACGCAATAGCTATGATCCAATCTACTCTACTGCAGAACAAAGATGTATCCAACACTGATGAGGTGGAATTTAAGTGTTACACATTTTAACCATATTGATGTCATGGCTTTCAGTAAAAAAAGACCCATTTTTCCTCACCAAGCTCTTGTGCTTTAGCTGCAGGACTCACAATGTCAAACTCTGTGTCAGGAGGTCCCATCACAGCCTCTCATCCTCTAAGTCCTCACTACACTGTTCTCATGAAATAAACAGTACATTTAGTCCAGAACACATAATTTGTTTCCTGCAGTCTCAACATGTGCCTCTCTCTCCCCTTCTTTTTTCAAGCTCACAATGCAGACACACACACAAAGAGAAGCCCTGCAAACATGAGTAACTGCATCCATGGATACTGTCGGCCGGGAAACAGGGAAATGCTTATTACATCACTGCATTCAACATCGCGTATGAAAGAAAGTCAATCTGAAAATGCGTAACAATGGCTGTGGAGCTAATGTATGGTACTTAAAAAATTCATGTAAGGTATTTCAGACAAGTATTAAATATTTAAGATGAATTTCTTTGAATAAGGAGTGTTTTCTGGCAGTCCCAAGGGTCACACGATTCCAAAAACTGCTGCTTTTTTTCCAGGGGTTTTCTAGAAATAAATGCCCAATTACTTCCAGGGTGAACTCTTCTGCACTCTGTGGGTTTTCCCCCAGACCCCCAGTGTATGCAGAGTGTGTGTGTGTGTGTGTGTGTGTGTGTGTATGTGTGTGTATGTGGGTTGGGGGTGCACTCACCTTCACCCATTTCCTTGACCCAATTTCAGTGTTGTGTCTCCGCTGTACCTTTTTAAGGCTGAAGGAAAAGAAATCCCATTTAAATCCCCCCAACATGTCTGACCTTCTCTGCTGCCCCTCAATGATCACACACACACACACACACACACACACACACACACACACACACACACACACACACACACACACTGCACTGCATGTTGTCCTCTTTCTGCCTGGCTTCACCACAAAATTTGGGCAGAAGAGTTGAATTATTCAGCATCACCCCACCCGCCCACACACACACACACGCCCACACACACACACACACACACACACACACACACACACACAAATGCCCCCCCCCCCCCCCCCCCAGGTCTTTTAAAGGACTTGAGTAGATTAAAGTAAAGGTGGAAATTACAAATCACTTCACAGATTGAGGCATTTTACTGTGATCACATCTTCACTTCCTTTGGTGTGATTTTTTTTCTCTCCTTCTTTCAGACTGAGATTTTTTTTTATTTTTCAGGCGTCACACCAGCTGACCTGTGCTTCAATGCATTCCTTGTCTATCTGCAACACAACACCATATGCACCATCATTTAAAGCAGCTTGTTTTATATTGTGCACATTAGATGTTTTGTTGTTGTGCGAGGGGTCGATCACGGTGAGAGTAATCACCAGCTGCACTGTTTATTGTTCTGGTGATATCACACATTAAATATTTCATTCAGTAGTTAAATTTTAAGTGCAGCCATTTCTAATCTTTATCTGCAAAATTAAAAGGTGGATGGATGAATTTTTAATCACAACACTGATTTTAATATCTGAGTTTTTATTCTCGTGTATAAAAAAGTTCTGGACTTAGTAATAGATAACTTACTGTTTTTAACAATAATATGTATTCTACAGAGATGTGCATGGTTGATCGAAAGTATAACCCTGTTTGTCCAAAAACAAAGATGTTGGCTTTAATAACAGTAAAAAAGCACATTGATTTTACTGGAGAAAGACATATTTACATGAAATAAAAGTAACAGTCTTCTCAGAGTTATGAGAAAATTTAAAAGTGAAAACAATTGGCTTCACTTTTTCTGAATTAATGACACATCTATCACAGAATTATGAGTCATTTTTTAAGGTAAAAAAACAACTGCTCTGGTTTTCTGAATAAACAAGACAATTAACTTTGCAATTTAGAAAATTAGATTTTTTTTCAAGTGAATGTTAAGTGCTGCTGTAAGTTTGTCCATTAATTCTGTAAAAAAAATTAAATTAAATTAGCAACATTAAAGGGATATTTCTAAGGGAGCTTGTACAATTACATATCACTATTAAATGTACTTGCCATATTGGATGCAAGTCATTTCCGCCCCTTCAATGATAAATTGCATGTAAGCTAGGCTGCAAAGTTTTACCAAGGCGGCTAACTGTGATGTAATTTAGTTCATCTAAAACATCTATAAAAAGGTGGGACGGTCCTGTGTGTGGGTTTTTAGCAATTACACAGTATGACTTCCTTTAAAATCCAAACAATTCTTGAGCTCACTAGCTTTGTGGCTACACTTCATCTAAGGGCTTAGGGTGAGGGTGAGGGTTAGGGTTAGGGTTAGGGTGAGGGTTAGCCATCCTTGTTCTGGTCTGTTGACCAGTCAGAGGCTGCATCTGTGATCAGCTGAACCTGAAGTCAACCTGAGACAGTATGAATGAAATAACTGCTTTAAATGAATTCATACAATTCAGCTTTTTTATTTCTGTAGCTCCATGTGCCAATGCTCGGTCTTCAAAAAGCTTAGTCTTGAAAAAGGGGGGTGATTTTATAATGAGGGTTAGTGTCTTATTTTTGCGTCAGTATGGTAAAACATGGTTTCAGAACAGCTAATCAACTACCCATTGCCTCATTTAGACTGTATCAGAAAAATTTCCAACACAGGTGCTGAACCAAAACCCAGATTTTATGTAAGCCTACTATGATGCGCTGCAAAGATGACTTTTGTGTAGACAGCTGCCAGACAGACACTGAATCACAAGTGTTGCATAAGAAGTCGGCTGTCATGGGCTAGATTGACTGCCTCAGATTTGTACCTTAATTTAATTAGCGTTCTCTCTAGTTTACTCAATCATGTTTGTTCGTACCTCCATTGTCCTACAAAGGTGTCTTCATCATGTTTCAGCTGAAGTCTGCCAAAGACAAACAACATTCATCATTTCATTTCAGTAAATGCCAAAAAAACAACAACAACAATGTGACAAAGCTGTCTGGCAGTGGTAAGAATTATGTCCTGTTTCTGTGTGGAGCAAAGAAGAACACCAGGTGTGTTTACAAAGGAGTCTGCAGAGGGAGGAGGCCGGGTGGATTCATCATTTCAAAAAACAAAGTACTTTGAGATTGGAGACTTTCCATTTCCTTTTTTCAGTAATCAAAACTGTTCCCTTCTGAAGGTAGCTATGATTGTTCCCTTACTGTAAGTGGTTATTAATGTAATTGTATTTTCCCTGTTTTTACTGAAATTAAAGCTCTTGAAAATAATAAAGCTGATATATTTTTACAGTAAACCATCATCTGCATGTTTTGAAAAGTGAGGAGAAATTATGTTATGTCCGTACACAGTGGAGAGAAATGCTTAACCATATATGTTTTCTATTTAATTTCTCATCCGGCAGTGAGCAACAGGAAATCAATTTCCAATTTGCATTTTTGACCGAGTAGCAAAGTTTGTTGAGTCATTTGTTCAGCACTAAAACTGTTGGTAAAGCCCCTTAAAATCAAAATAGACAGGTGACGAATGAGAATCACACTGCTTAAAGATACTCAGAATCTGTAACACTTAAATCCGGAATTGTACCAAAATACACTTTGGATACTGACTCATCCTTATTGGACACTGTATGAAAAGTAAACCATTTTTTGTAGATGTTTTAAACTAATAATTAAACATAATTAACTTTTTGTATGTTACTGAAGGCCATTCCCAAGTCTTTAAGTTCTTTTGACAAGAAGTTGTCATTGCCAGGTTACAATACTAATGAAAGTTTATCTTGTGAAAAAATAAAAACTGGTTCATTTTAACCAAAAAACAACATTGCCAGAGTTGTAGAAATACTGCTGACTGTATAAAACAAGGACATAGTCTAAAGGCTGTCTCCTATTGGTTTCTGCAGAAGTGTGAGCACGGCCAAAGAAGCTATTTGACATATTGGATATGTTGACTCCAGCTAACTTTCAGCCTTGAGAAACCAACAAAGATGTGGTGTTCAGGCTGAGTCATCCTGCACACAGCAATAACATGCTCATTTGTCCACAATTTTAAGCCCACATGTAGTGGAAACCACTGAGTGTTCAAAAATGATCAACCTCTTACAGTTGCTATGATGAAAGATATATAATTAAAAAAAAAAAAAAAGACTATTTCTGTGTCTGACCACGTGTGTGTAATTCTACAGTAGAAATGTAAATTTCATTAAGGGCTTTAATGGGATTTCTTAGCTTTTGCAGCCAGCCTCTAGTGGACACTTGAAGAACTGCAGTTTTTTGGCTTCACATCTGTGCCAGAAGATGATGCCTAAAAAATTTAGTATGTGGTAAATTCATGGACAATTAACATCAGAAGTCAATACCAAGCATAAGTTCAGGCTTTTATCAGTCATCTCTCCTGTTACCCATCAATCCATCCATCCATCTTCACCTCCTACCTACATGCCCTTCAGACTCCCTGAGCTGTCATTCTTTTTTTATGACACTGATTTGTCAAACATATTCCTCCTGTGCTGCACTGGAGATGTTGTAAAATTACTTCTTTTTTAAAAAAATGACATTTTTTATGTGATAAAATATGAATGGACTTCAACTCATCATTGTGTTTCCTTGGGCAATTTTGTGTAACAAATGTGGAACCTTCTCTAACTTAAGATGCAACAAAACCTCGTTCATATACACACAAATTTGTCTGGTTATCTACCCTGTTGAGTGCTTGAGTCAAGAAGTTTTGGTTGTAAGGCCGAAGTAATGAGACAAAAAAACAGGAAGCCTGCAAAATTGTATTTTTAGTTGCCAATGTGGATTTTTTTTCTGCATGCCAACAAAACTGAAATTATCCGAGCACGAGTGTGCCTAAATATACTTTCACTGTTGTGCTGTCTTGTCATCTTTGTCCCTCGACATGCGTTTTCCTCCTGCAGCTCTCTCCGTCTCTGGGTTGTTATTTTGGTTTGGTTTCTCCCCTTAGGCCAAGCTTATCAGACAGACCCTGAAGTATTGATGCCGAAATCCCCGTCTAGATTCTATGCACTGCTCAGCAGGTGGCTGCACACTCACACTCGCACAGATTTTCCTGAGGGACGACAGTGAAGGGAAAAGGAGGAAAAATAAAACCTCTCCTGCCTTAGCTCATATGGAATTAAAGAGCTTTCAGTCTTCTGTTTCAGATTCTTCTTTAACCTCCAGCCATCCTTCCAACAAGACAGATTTTGTAGCCTGTGGTTCATCACAGCAGGAAACACACACACATGGATACACCCAGATACCTAATGGATGAATCCTTGGCTGCCAAACATTGCAGATGTCACCGCTGGGCTGATGAATGCTCACTCTGCAAGCTTATAATATGTATTCTATGTACAGCAAAAGACATATACAATAAAAATATTTTATACATGAGCACACTGTCGCTTTGAGTTTATGAGACAAAAGAAGACTGCATGTTTAGCTTTGACTTCACTAAATATAAAAAAAAAGGTGATGGTGTCTTTAATGAGGACCCATCATGCAGGTTTGGATATATCAAAGAAAAGCAGATTTGTGAAGATATTTCACCACTCGACTAACAGCTTCATTAACTCTTTTAACTTAATTGAGTTCTGTTTAGCAAATTTTGAAATGTATTGTGAGAATAAATAAACCATTGCTGCCAGTACTTCACGTGTGATGTACTGTCTGATGTGGATGTTTGATATTTATCTGAGGAAGAGCACCAGATGGTCCTTTTATGTCCCGATAGTGTCTTCCTCATAGTGCTCAGATATGAAGACGAAATCCAAAAGACCTGTGGCAGATATTCAGGCAGAGATATGAAAAATACAAGCTAACTACCTGTGGCATTTATTCAAATGAAGGACAGATGGTGTGGAGCAGATAGAGGAGCGATGAGACCAGAGGAGAGGGAGGAGATAAGAGAAGTCCATGAGGAGTCTGTCCTGTGTCCTGAACTACTCAGTCAGTTCAGAGGAGGTTTGCATCTG